TACATGGATTGCTGCTGTAATGTTCGAGTCAGGGTTAAAAGTGTGACCATCACCCAGATACTGTTCATTGTACCCATTAGGTAGGTTTGTGCCCATCCCCTGCACCCCCTCCCCCCTTCCTGATTTCCATTGAGTTTTACTTCCCTCTATGCACATGTGTGCTCATCAGTTAGTTCTAATTTAATAGTGAGTACATGTGGTATTTATTTTTCCATTCTTTAGATACTTCACTTAGGATAATGGTCTCTAGTTCCACCCAAATTGCTGCAAAAGGCATTAAGTCATCCTTTCTCATGGCTGGCATCTGCCTCATTTTGAGCCAAGTTACTTGAAATGAAATCCGCTGTAAACTCATTGCTCCCACTCTCACCTCTCATTTTTTAAATTTTTTCCTTCTTTGGCTTCTGAGACACAAGTTTCCTGATTTCCTCTCCCTCTCTGATCACTCCTACCTAGTTTCCTTCCTTCAGTCATTGAAACTTCAGTGTTATTTTTCCCCAGATTCCAGCATTCAGCTCTCTTCTTACTCTATACTCTTTCTAGGTGGTAATATTTAATATTAAGGCCTCAACTGTGCTCATAACATGCTCATAGATGTTCTGCATAGTTTCTGAGATGTTCCCTAGCAAGATTGAGCTCAGTTGCCTAAATAAGTAACCCATTATCCATGTGCACTTTATTGGCCTTTCTTCCTTCCCTCCATCATTTTCCCCGTCTCTATGTTTGTGCATATTTGTAATTGCCTGCCCAAAACTACCTGTACCAAAGTTTTTGTCTCAGATCTGCTTTTAGGGGAACTCAAACTAAGACAGTTTATATCCTAAATATGTATGGAATTGGTTCTTCTGTCCGTTCTACTTCCTTGATTCAGTCCTCACTTGGATTACTTTAGGAACTCTTACCTCATCCCTGACTCTAATTTTGCTCCCCTCCAATGTATTCATGACACTTCAAGCAAATAATAAGCTTTGTAAATCAAAGGGGCGATCAGGTCATACCCCTCTGTAAAAGCCTCAGTGGTTCCCAACTCCCCCCTCCATATGATAAATGCAAAGTTCTTAAAGTGGACTGTGAGAACATTCTGATTTGAACCCTGTTTACCTCTCCAGCCTCAACTTCTACTCCAGCCATAATGAGCTGCCTACACTTATCAAAGGAGTGCTGTTCTTTCTTGCTTCTAAGACTTTGCTGAAGTTCCACCAAGTTCAGACATATGCAATATTGAAATAAATACATTTACAGTTTTGCTTTCCCCTCTTTTAAGCAACCTAAAAAATTGTGTTTTTATCTATTTTTATATTCATTTTGTATCCCCAGGATCTGGTACAAATGCCCAGCATGTACAATATTCTTAATAACATTAATTAATATATCTAGCCTTAAGTTAAATATTTTATTAGTAATAGGCTCACTTCTTTTCTCTAAGCTGTTTTTAACTATAGAACTAATTAATTCAG